ACGCAAAAACCTCTGCCAGGGCATCTCGTGCTTTTCTGTCTGCTCTTCCTGAACTGTTCGGACATGGTGAAACCAAGAAGAAAGAAGAAGGGAGACTTCTTATGGGCCATCCTTAACATGACTTCCTGTGTCCTAAGAACTGTAGTTCTATATCATATTTTATGTATATCTGAAGTCCAGAAAGGCCTCCCATCTGAACCTGGTGTGTAAAGAACCACTTTCTCAGAAAACTGACAGGGAGGAATTTCAAGTGCTGCGTGTGCCCACAAAGACGTGAAAGAACAGTGTCGCAGAACACGAAGAGTGAGACGTTGAGGCTGTCCAAGCATGATGAGAAGTGAAGCCTCCACACAGGAGGCACAAGGAAAGCACGTGCAGATCCTCTGGTGTCAAGTCAGCTATTACACCCATCTCCTGAAGTAACAGGGACTTTAACCTTAGCTGTGAATTTTGTGCCATGTTGCAAAAAAATCTGAAAAATTATACCTGAAGTATCTAAGCTGTGCTTGAAGGCTGTCAGCCTGACTCCTTCAGGCACTGAGCCTGAAGTCTTTACTGACAGCAGAAGCAATGTCAGTGTCAAACTTTCCAGTACTCATGAAGTGCCAGGTAGGAGTAACCAACTGCAACAGCAGGAACCATCATGTCCAAAGGGCCTTTGGGCTTTCCACTGAAACTCCTTACAGGCCTGGAAATTAATGCCTTTTCCAGGAAAAAAAAAAAAAAAAAAATTAGGAGCAGACTAATTTTAGAGTAATTTATTAATTTACTACTAATTTTCTTAGAGCAGTAAGCCATTTCATCTGAGGCACTGGACAGCAGAGTCGTTTTGTCAGAGACATCCTTGAATTTAATGAGAAAAATACAAAGTTCTACAGTAAAGTATCAGCCCTTTGAGGCTTCCTTTTTCCTTAGTTTTAGTTAACAGTGACGAACTACATCGGTAATGGGGTGACATGAGCCACCTTCAATTTCCCACAGAAGGGAGGACCTAATGCAAGATCCTGCTGCATGTTACCAGCCTCAATACTGCAACCTGTAAAAGCCTTATCACACCAGATCCATTTTGAGGACAGCTTCTGAAATTTCAGGTTTTCAGTGTACTAGTGGGTCAGCTGTGTTTGCCAATGATCAAACAAATACTTCGCAAGTTATTTCACAGAAGCCTCTTAACAGATACCTGCTATTAGTTAAAAGAAACCATCATAAATTCAAGAGCAATTTATATTTCTAAATGCCTAGAGACACGTTCTGCTTCTCTGAAGTTTAAATACAGCCAAGTTCACGTAAGAACTACTAATTGGTTGTAAAGGTCATGCCTTTTGAATCTGTGTGTATTGGAGGTGTGAAACCTATTAAGCTGTGGTTTTGTACGTAGGCTCAGTACTGAATTTGGATTAAATCATGTTATATAGATTTGATGGGCTGCTCAGATATGCTGCAGCTTTAATTGAATGTATTAGAAGATGTTAATTCTAACAGATACACCCTTAAAAAGCAGTAGCATAGTCAATTGAAATTGCTTTCTAGTACAGGCCTTTGCCAGTTTTCAAGGAAGAGAAAGAGGCGCTTTGGAGTCCTTAATCTGAGACTACGTTAATAAGTATCTAAGGAGAGGTTCTTTTGTTTCCTTTTCAATATGGATGAGTGCCCTTTGAAACCCAAAAAGTAATTGATGTAATCCATTGATTGCCATTTAAATGCCTTTATAAACTAATTAGTGCAAAATATAAAATGTTTCTGAGCAGAAACAAGCAACAACCATGAAAATAAAGGAAGGCTCATTCGGTTCTTAGATATACTGGGGGGACAAACGCCCTGATGCAGAGAGTCACCAGCAAGTGTAGTGCTGGGAAACTGTTATTAAAAATAGACTCTCTTGTTGTACCTGTGAGAGCAACGTCACGCCGCCAGCAGTCGACATGCACGCTTGGAACAGCAATGATGCATCTAGCTTTAACATACATAGCTGGGAGAGCAGCTCTCTGGGAGACATTGCGACGTTCAGGGAAACAGCCAAGACCATAAAATAGGTCACTAGCTGGAGTCTGCCCAGGTCTGAAGTGGCTCAAAGTCATTACCATCTGTTCATCTGAAATGAGGGGCTGGTATCGGTCCAGTTCCTAGCAGATAGGTATCCACACTGTAAAGGAAACCTTCAAAAGTGATCCTAGTTGGAAATGGGGTTGGCAGAAAGGAGCCATGGGCTGAAGGCTCTAGAGGAGCTCCTTCTAGCACACGCAGACAAGCTGGTGGGTATCTGAAGGTCATTTATGTGTCATCTCTCATGACGCATTAGGAGGCAATCCTTCCTTGTTGTTGCCAGTCTGGCACCTCTCACTGGCCAACAGCAGACATTAAGATCTGACTAATATTTCTGAGAAACATTTTAGCTTTATAGGTCTAAAAAGAGCTATACCCATACAAGGTGCTTTATGGGATCTCGGAGAGACTGTCCTGTGCCTCCTGTGCGATGTCACGGCCCAGCTACAAAGCCAAGTTATTGTTGTTGATGTCTCTACACACACACTGACCTCTTGCTCACAGCCAGGCAACTTCTCCCATCTCAAGGGAAGATTTATCTACCTCTCACATGCCACAGCCAGAGTGTGTGTATGTATGCATGGGCAACCGGTGTAAGGAAGGGTTGCACGCACTTGCTCATGTAGCCATTCCCTCAGCTAGAACCTTCCTCTCATGGGGTAGATGATCCCAACCCACTCAGCCAACTGCTGCTTGAATTGGCTAAATGCTGGTGAGGAATGGGCGGAGGAGGACATTCCCCTCACACAGGGAATAAGCATCACACTGTAGCCAGGGGAACTCATGGCCTTTTCTGAGTCAGACCACTATCACTCCCACCAACGCTCCACTAGCGAGCTTAGAGGGAGAAGAGCACCCCAAACCACAGAGCAGGCATGATCTGCGCAGCTGGTGCTCAGAAACCAGGTCTCCTCTAAGAGGCATTTCAAGTTCCAGCCATCTGATTAAGTGGCTAATAAAGACTACAACAAAGTATTTATGTGAACATATGCATTTAATCTAAGGCAAAGCTTTCGCCCTTCTCAAATCAACTGAAGATGACTCTAATTACAACAGTTTCATAGCTGCATCGCTCTACTCAAATTAATTACTCTGCAAAAGTTAATACAACTGAAATTATGTTGTGTGCCTTCAGAACACTGAGAGAAGCACCACTTAGGGACCATTCTCCTTCCCACCTGGCCCATCCGGATCACCCAGAGCGGGCGTTATGCCCCGCTCCACCACTACCGGGACCCCGCTTTCCTCCTTCCCCCTCCGACTCCCCTCCCTGCCTGATGGAGCTGGCAGCTCCTGACAGATCATCCTCATTTACAGCCCTGCTTTCTCCAGCACCAGGAGCACAGCTCATCTCAAGACTATTAACAGCTCAACAAAGTATTCATACATTTACTAGACTTTGCACCCTTTCACACGAAACACTCATTCCTTTGATCTCTTGGTGAGAAGGGATTTCCTTGTTATGTCAAACTATTAAGGAAATGAAGAAACACCCCCACACAGTCCCTCTTTCTGTATTAACGGTAACGAGAGATTCCAAAGAAGATCTTCCCCCTCCCCTCCCCACCGAAGAACAGTATAGTGACTGTAAACAGCACCAATATTTCTAATCAAGTTGTGTTACTGCTTCTGACAGGTCCACTCAACTCATTTTTGCTGGGCAGGTAATGCTGCCTCAGGCTGATAATTAAACAGAATGCAATTTTTTTACACACTCATGCCACCCGTACAAGGTCAGTGTTTATATTGCAGAGTTTAATAAAAACGGAAGTCATGACGTACCAGCCAGTTAATTAAGAACTACTATCTATTTTGATATGAAGGCATTACATGTAAGTAAGGCAGGGTACAAACGCTTCATAAAACACTTCTGAGTTCACTTCCAGCTCTATATCAGATTTACACATACATGTATGTGGGTGTGTGGTCGTGTATTGAAATTTTAAGCAAATTCAAGGAGTCATCAGTATTTCACCAGCCTACAGCAGCAAGGCTTTTTGTCTCCCTCCTCCCTCATGCTTGCACCTGGCCGGTATGCGTGACAGGCAATAATTAGTCCTGCAGCACTGACCATTTTCTATTTAAAAAAAAAAAAAAAGTTGGTTTGAATGGCATCTGATTAGCACTGCTGAGAGAGACCCAAGAGCTCCCTGAAAGGGCTGAGCAGTTCAGTTCGCCCTTGGAAAGACCAGAAATAAGAGCTTTTCAGGTCGCAACGCTTTTAGATACATAAAAATGGCCTGAGGTCATATTTAGAGTTTCTAATCACCCTCACCAAACTCTCTGCAGTTCAGCTTGTGGCTTGGCAAGTGGAGAAAGGAAGGACGATCTTAAATAAAAGTGTATACTCTCCCCTACCCCCAAACACCGCAAACCCAGCATTTCCCTAAGCAAGGTGAATACAAGGCAGCATTCTGGGGTGCCCATGTTTCACCCCTGACTTGATACAGCCACAGCCAGCCACTGGCCAAAGACACAGCAACAACAACCGCAGCAATCCATGCACCACGTAGAAACGAACGGCAGCACATGCCTCCCATCCCCCTTCTCATTCTGGCAGGGGAACGCCGATGTCGGATGGCACTAACGGCTGCCAGCTGGGCAAACACAGCAAGTAGGTCAAGAGCATCACTCCTCCATGAGTTTTCTTTGCTAAATATTGTGCTAACGCCTGCATTACTGCGCATCAGACTGAGGTTCTGGAACTGGTGTTAAAAAATCCCTTCCCGTGATATCTGGGGTCACGTTTCCCATCTTGAGATGTTTCAGGTTGAGCAAACCCACCCATTTTTGATAAAATGCCTTTTGATATTAAAATCTGTACTCAGGCCTGTCCTGATTGCACAAAGCAGCTTCCACCAGAACAGCTATTACAGTTGGGCAGAAAAAACGACTGAAAACCATACATTAGGCGCTTACAGTTTAGAAAAGCTCTAATGGAGATTTAACAGACTTACTCGAAAGAATTCTTTGGTTGAGCCTGAATCCAAAGTGCCATAGGCTATTTCGGTTTGTTTGGCCAGGTCCTCTGCGCTCTCTATGGGAGAAACCATTCTTTCCACCGTAAGGAAGGCAGCAAGATTAGCAGTGTAGGAAGAGATAATGATGAGAGTGAAGAACCACCAGACTCCTCCGACAATTCGCCCTGAGAGAGATCTACGGAAAAACACACATCATCAAATTGCTTTGAAGACAATCCTTGATTATTTTTTTTTTCATTCAAGAGAAATTCACACACACAAACCATTTGTCCAGATCTTCCAGGTATCTGTAAACAGGCAGCCTGTGAGCAGCTCCTAACAGCCTTCCTCAGGAGAGCAAACTCGGTGGGCACCTGGTCTTACCTAGTTAAACTCTCCAGTCTTTCAGTGAAAACAAGGACAGCCAATTAAATAATTCACCTGAGCCAACACCATCAGAGACTTGGAGAGGAACAAGCTCTCTTGACTTCCACGGACCCTTTGCTGGAAAAGTCTGCTGCCAGAAGACTTTTGACTTCTCTGCTTGCCCAGCCTGTCCCTGTGGCTGGATTTGCCCACTGCCATACACTAGCAGCATCTCTCTGGGGGCTGCCCAGCTCCGAGGACACGGATTTACCTTTTACTGCACCTACTCTCAAAATGTAAGGTGTAGTAAACTGCAAAAAGGAGTCTGAGTAAACATGCAAAGGAATAAACCAAAGATGATCCATTGTCCTTCTCTCATCACAACCTAGCAGGACTTATGGACTGAATCTGCATACTGAAGTGAGGAGAGAGGCTGGTTTGTTTTATGCTCTATGTTAATTAGAATTTGCATGCTGCACTGTTCCAAGTCAAGCATATTCCTGCTTAATAGCAGAGCAACAGAGAAGGAGGCAGAAAAAAATGTGTCCTGTTTTTGTTGTCGTTTTTGTTGTCGTTTTTGTTTTTTAGAAGGATACCATAAGGACTAAAAAAGCCTTTTTGTAAATATACAATTACAAAATGCCTTGTGGACAGGAGGTCTGGATCCTGTCAGTAAGAGTTCTTGATGCTTTACAGCAATTAAACATCAGGCTCAAAATATTTGTTCGGGGCTGAAGGATGCCAGTGCCACGCCGCTCAGCTGTGTGGGGAATTTCACCTCCATGTACACTGCTCATTCTTCAAACACAGCATGTTGACCAGGAATCATGTCAGGAGCTGAGACAACACTATGTCATATATTTTCCCTTAACCCTAGTGGTACCAATGGAGGAAGAATCAATCCCAGATACATTAAATCCGTGGAACCTGGATGCTGTAGTCCTCAGTTTGTGTGAAGGGAAGAAATAGAAAGCAAGGAAACTCTTACCTGTTTATTTGTTTCCTTCAAGCCCCTCAGTGCCATCCCCAGACAGTGGGTACAAGTTGTCCTACCAACGGATGGAGACAGGAAAAAAACAGTCTCGTGATGTGCCTCCACCCCACCCGCACAGGGGGATGTGCTGGTAAACTGCCTAGTCTTGGCCAGAGCCTGAGACTGCCTCAGCCATTCAAAAAATCCCATTAAATTATTAAGGAAAAAAGAAATTAAAAAAAAAAAAATCCACACAACATTAAAGAACACACCAAAGAAAAAAGATCGCCAACACAATAAAACAGAGAGCAATCTGGAATAGGCTAGAGGAATGTGGAGAAACAAAGAGGTGAAGCACCGCTGTTCACTCTCCTCTGCCCAAGAAACAGAAGCAGCAGCTCCCACTGAGGGCAGACGCAGGCTGGTTTCCATGGATTACAGCAGGCACCACTTCCCAGCGCGGTGAGCGCCGCACTGTAGCGATGCGCAGGGCGGTTCGGGCAGTTACAACGCTCGGCAAAGCCTGAGGAGCGAAGCATCAGCTCTGTTCATCAGGAGGCGACGGCTTCCAAGGTGTGAACTCCGAGACATCGCCGTCACTCTGGCCTGCATGTGCTTCCTCAGGTCAGGCACGCATCCGCCGGATCGCTGAGAAGCGAAGGCTTCCTTGCCTTTCTTGAAGGCCGCCCAAGAGGATAAGTCTTCCAAGTTTCAACGTGCCCTGTGCTGCAGCTGTGCTCACTAACAGGTGGCTACTGAGCAGCTACAAGAATAAGTTGCAGAAGTATAAATCCAGAATAATCTAAGTCAAGGAACCTCCCTACCTCGCTCTACGTTCTTTGTAGGCATCAAGTGAGTATCTTGGGATTTTAGAGATGGTCAAAGTCCTTTCTGGTTAGGTACTTTGCAAAACTCAATACTCCACACACCAAATCAGCCTCGTACATGGGCTGATGCAATTGTAAGGCTTCCTCTGGAGAGAAGGAGAGGAGACAGGCACCCTTAGAAAGAGAATTATCTCACTTGCTGTCACGTGGGACACGTGAAGGTGCCCATCTGTCCCATGACTTCGGAGGGAACCGCGATGCCTACCTAAAACACAGCCTACTGCTTTTAGATTGTTAAAATTCATCTCTCCCTTGTTCATTCCTTCATTACCCTTCATTACATAGTTTCCATCTTCAGAGAAGACCTGGAGTTGAAATCCTCCTCCCTGCAGCGAGGTGGGCAGTTTCGGAGGCAGCAGAAGTCCGTCCGGCAGGTATAGCAGATGAAACATCCACCTGCCTACAGCACGACCAGCTTTACCCCGGATTTCCAGGTTCCTGTGGCCCTCTTGCTTTACAGTAGGTCTTGAAATAGGAAGATGAAAAAACCCACACTTGCCAGGGTGTTTAGATAAATTCAGTGGAACTATTGGGAATAAAATAGTACGTGTTTGTTCTCCATATAGCTTCCCATAGGAAATGTCTTACTCGCATCAGTAGCTGCCCCTTCTGTTAGCAGGACAGATGGGTTGCTGGGAAGATGATGTGCAGAAGACAAGCATTTTCCAAACCAGGGAAACCTCAAGCTCACGCTGCTGTACAACAAAAAGTCTGTCAAGCTGCATGCTCATACAGCGTGTTGCCCACAGAGAAAGGTGAGCAGTATCTTGCCCCAGAGATATGCATGAACCAGGGCAGACAGATACGGGACCAAAAATGGAGAGCAGCTGAGGGGCATGGGAAGGTGGGCACGGCCGCACCCCTTGACAAAGGTGACACTTCCCCGAGGGTCCTACATGCAAGAGAAGGGTTTTGCTAGATGAGGACCAGAGCTGTTCCCAGATGAGTTGAGGTCACTTGTCAGAAAACTGATGTCACTACAGCATTGTTTATTCCAGAGTCTTCCAATGAACCGGGAAAGGAAGATCAAACAGCTGCTACTACGAAGCAGTTAGGGCTGACATAGCTGTAACTGGTGGTAGCACAGGATGGGGCAAAAGAAAAACAAAACAAACCACAAAGCTGACACCCAAGGAAAGACAGAGAGCCGAAGAACAAGCTCACGGAAGAGCACGGCCTGGCAGCCTCCATGTCCAAAGGACCCCAGTTCCCCCCAGTCCATCTGCTGATACGAAGACTCCTTATACCCACTGCAGGGGCTGGTGTAGAGGGACGCTGGAGAAAAAGGGTTAGTACACAAACACCGGGCTGGTAACAGGAGGATACTTGCTTGTATTGCAAACCACAGAAATGTCTGTCCATTACTCAGATAATAATTATAGAAAAATCAATCACAGCTTTTAATACCAGCACTACTTTTTCTGATGCAGACATACCTGTCCAAGTGTGCAGTGTTGTAATTTAAAAACAAACAACAATGCTTTATCCCAACATGCCGTTTTCCAAATTGCCTCAATAAATAGATACTTTGCACGACATTATTTTAAAGTGAATTAGCATGTTAACAAATGAGAGGAGTAACAAAGACCTGGAATAACAGAATTGTAACTCAGTTATCAAAACACAGTCAGACGGTGTTTTCAAAAGGAAGGAAACAGGAAGAATGCATACCTTGAGAGGAAATTTAAAAGGAAGCATGGAGTCAAATGAGAGCAAATTAGTAACAAGAGAAAAACAAAACAAACATTCAAATTCACATTCAGTTTCCATGCATTCAAACAAATCCTCATTTATTTATCAAAACAGCTTCAATTTTGTTTCTACTCATGGCCATAAACCAATCTGATTTCCTATAGCACACAGAAATAATAAGCTTCTCACACTACTCAATTTTTAATTGGGCTCTTCTGATCGATACAAGGTGGCTGTTACATTGACAAACAACCCTGAACAACTTCGGTGCAAACTCTCCTTGTCTAGAAGCCCGTCATACTCTGAGCAGACGTTACCTGGTACCCACCAAGCCTTAAGCTCGGTCCCTCGCTCGCACGCCCAGCCAGCCCTCTACCTCGCCTGCTGGCCTCGTGCGGCCTGGTGACACAGAACACAGTAGGTAACAGCATCTGAAGCGCTGACTTGAGATGCTTCCATCATAGGAACGGGCAGTGGGAGTTTCAGAAATCTCGTTACCCAGCTCTCATTGCTATTTCGAAAGTCCCACAAAGTCATTCCCATGGTCTTTAATAGGAGTCTCTTGAGTCTTCTGCTGTGAAAATAGGGACCTAGAAATACGGCCTCTTAAATGACCAACCTCATGAGATAATTTTAATGAATCCCCTGTCTTTTTCCATCAGCAATTAATTAATCTAGCCTCTGTTCCACATGAATAAAGAGCAAAATGAAAATACATGCTCTCACAGAGATTTCAAAGATACTTTCGCTCAGAACAGTGTTACAAATTTGACTGTGTTTTCTCCTGATTCCATTTGCTGTACACATCTTACATTAAAGCAAGTTTAACAATCTACTTTTGATCCATCAAAAGTGAATTTTCAATGCTTTAGCTTGCTATGCAGAAAACACAGCAGCCTTTGATAGCAGAAGAAAACTGCTGGAACAATTGCTGATTCCATCAAGGGACGCACTAACCCCCATCCTTTGGCTGCTATCTGATTGTGTTTAGACGACTCCTATTAAATACAGAGAGGAGAGTATAGGGATATATCCTCTGGAATATCCACACAGCATACTCACCGAGGATAGATCTAACTAGTCATTAGATGTCACAGCTGTTCCACACAAAGGCAGCTGAAAGAGCCTTTATCAGCAAGTACAAAAGTGATCTCTCCAGACTGCTTGTCGGCATCTCTCTACAAGTGCTGTACGCTCTCATTTAAGAAATTTATTCAGACAAAACTCACAAAGGAAGAATGAAGCCCCTTTTAATGGCAATAAAATAGTATGAAACATTCATATAGTCAATGTACTGTGAATGGCGTAACCTTACAAAGATACGGATTAAGAATGAAATACTTGGGAATAGTCCCTTCTATGGAAAAGAAATTTGACATTTAATCAACTTAAATCAACATATTGGTCAAAGGAACAGTGCTTCTGGAATTTAAACCAAGGTATTGAATTTCTCGTCAGTAAGAACGCATGTATCTGCCTGGAACCTGTTACCATGAAAGATAGCAAAATAACTGCACAACGTCTCCAAACGAGGGCCATATACTAATACTGAGCTAATAGCTTCTGATGGACAGATAAATAGGTTTACTGCTCCCTCTTTTTTTTTGGTAGGTATTTCCAAGGCACTTATCATGGTAGCATTGAAAAAAATAGAATATGTTCCACTCGTTATATAAAGTAAATGGCTGAACATGTCAGAGTCACATGAGAGCTTAACAAAAATCCTATGCACTTCTATTTAACTGTCAATAAACAGACCTAGTGGAAACAGTGCAATGCCTGCAGCTTTCCATGTGATGTCCCAGTGCTTATTTCCCGGTCCTTTATATTGGGCACACACATGGTCAACAGCAATTTAAATGTTATCACTACTCATCACCTTTAAGAGCAAGCAGAGAGGCAAAGTTTCAATACGGAATTTAGGCAGAAAGCAGAAACACCGTGTATAAACAGGAGGAGAAGGCTCACAGCTATAACTATACAGCCAGGCAGCACACCCAAGGACTGTTAACTGCGAATCCTAACGCACAGTCATATCCAGGCAAAAATGTGTGTGTGTTTTACACAGGATAAATATGCATCTGTCAGTAAGTATGAAATCTAAATGCTGCTATCAAGACTTTTAAAACACGTGCATGACCTGTATCAAACACCAACAGGCATACGCCAGGACCTCTGAATGTCCTGGATTTCACTGTGGTCACCAGGAGATTTGAATGGGCAATGACTGTGAACTAAAGGATCGTTATTGCATTGTAATAGGTAAAAATCATGATCCTTCCCATGGAAATTCATAGTTTTCTCCCTTGCTTCAGTACAGCTACTCAAAATCGCTACCACTACACGTACCAGGAAAACCTGGTAACTTTTCAATGATTTGGGTACTGAAAAAGGTACACAAATGTGGAGATTGACAAGGTTCATGTCGAATATAAGTGCTTAGACAGAAAAGAATCTGTCTCTGTTGCTTTAACTAGCAACCTTGTTAAAAGGAAAAACTGCATCCTGTTTGTACTAACCAGCTATTTTTAATAATTAAGAGCTGTAAACTGGTTATTCAAATATTGTCATACAACATACAAATAGTGCTTCATCACCTAGAAACTGGATAATTTTACTGCTTATCACAGGCACATCACCAAAGTATTTTACCAGTGTAAATGCAGAAACATTATATGTGTTATTAAAAAATGATTTGGGGTACGCATTGTTCAGTTAGAGAGCGTTTCACTAGTCTCAGGTGGTTTTCAAAACACTCCTTTAAAAAACCAAATACAATTCTACAATCGTTAATACCAGTGCTGTCTGTTCAATCTGAACTAGTATCAAACATGTTTTGCTACGGCCTTATTCAGAAAGACTGTCTGCACGAATAAGAAAGAAATCTTTATGGAAACTGGCAATCCTTATTAGGCCATATTGACTATGAACGCAGGGACAACAGAACAGACTGGACTGAAATAACGATAAACAAACAGGGTAGTATGCAATAGCTGCTAGAGGGGCACGTACGGAGACCTGAACATATGAAAGACAGGGGTAAGCAAATTAGTAATAGATGAAAGGATGGTTCAAGAAGAACAAAAGTAGAGAAATTAGGCACAAAAGAAAGTAAGAGACGAGCAGAAGCCATGAGGGGAGATGTTTTAAAGTGCTGTTGCATGTGACTTTTTAAAATAAACAATTCTTATTTTGCAAAGCAGAATGTTATATGCACCAAGGAGATGACCGTAAAATGAGATATGCAGCAAAAACACGGTAGCCCTCCAAGCATTGCTGAAAACAGAAAACCCTATGCATTTTACAGCCTCAACATGGTGTATATAAGTTTGGCAGAAATGCATAAACGGCATTGTAAGGCAATGCCACTCGCTCTGGAGGTTAATGTCAGCAAGCATGGTGGCTCGATGATGATACTTAGCATTGAATGGAATGTCAAAACAAAAATTTGGAATTAAAAGAAATTTGAAAAAGTAACATATATGCACCATGGCATCAGAAAATGACCATAAAATGCAAAAAGGTGATGGAGTGATATGGAACAAACCTTGGAGAAATATCGCATCCTTGCTGCATAAAGGCACCCAGGGAAAACCAAAGGCTGTTAAATATTCCAAACTCATTTGGAGGGTCGGGAGGATTCTGAGGGTCACGTGGTTCTTCACTGCTGTCTTCCAAGTGCCATTCGTAAGGGCTGAATCTGCTGACTAGGAAAAGAACTACGCTGACGCCAATGTAAGCAAAGACTATACACATCCAAATCTCATAAGCCAAAGGATCCAGGAAAGAGAATACGCCCGGTTTAGATTTCTGAGGCTTCTTGATCATGATGGAGATGCCCAGGCTCATAAAGGGTTTGGAAAAGTCTATGACTTCTTCTCGCACCAATGTTATGGTGAGGGGGGCAACAGCTATATCTGCTCTCTGCAAGGGAAAACAAACCCAAGTTAGTTACAAAACAGTTGAAACCTAATCACAATCTAAAGTCTCACACTAATGAATCAGATAATAAATTACAAGAGCGAGAAGGCAACATTTTCTTTGTAGCCTATTTTGCAGTCACTGGAGTAAAGGACTACCTGATATTGATAGACAATTATTAAGAAAAAAAATCCAACCATATTAACAACAAAAATTACAACCAAACCTGTGCCAGGGTCTCAAGACAGAGGCAGATACGTACCAAGATGTATTTGTTTCTATTAAGTTAAAATGAACGAGTAAACACCATGCAAACTGGGCAGTGAGATGGCAACTAAAAAAAATGGTAATGGTCTAATAGTAATGGCCTGTATCTGTCCATCTGTCTTGAAGACTTTGGGAAAATTATGTGTTTATTTTAATTTTCCCTTTTCAATTCTTTCAGCGAGTTCTTTTGCCTTACTGATTAAATTTAAAAGGAACCTCAGAGAATTAATCAGTCACTGAATTTCTGCTGCATTTGGGCACCAGCGCTAGCATATTCCTTTAAACCCCACTGCAATAAAGGATAGAAGATGGTAAACTAGCACTGTGAGAGAAACCAGACTGCCCACCCTTTCTGTAGTCAATGAAAAATAGTAATACAGATTTGTGAGTCCCTGAGAAGTAAATAGCCTGGGTTATCTAAGAAGAATGCAAAGCAGTATTTTTCAGCATAATGTATGCCATCCTATTACACAGAACTTAGCTCTGTAACATACAGCACGCACCAGGGCTGCGTCACCTGGAAGCACAATCTCATCTCATTGCATCTATCATTCACCAGCGTGTGAATGGTCTATCTGAATATACCCTGAACCAATACCCTTTCCCTTCAATCAATACATCTTTGCTGGATTCCAGGGGAGGGTAAGAATGTGAAATAAAAAAAAGTATTAGTTACTTGATTAAAAATAGCAGTCCAGAATAGATTTTCAGCATATTTAATTGTATCTGTATTTCTGTAACAGAAAGATACAAGTCATGCTGTTTAGATAACCTAGCCTTGATTCAGCCAAGTACTCAAGCAGGTGTCAGCAATTGCAACAGAGAGGACTAAAATGTTAAAACCCAAGCCCTTTCCATTAAAGAAAAAGCTTTAATTATTATCATGAGAGTCCACAAACCTACATAAAACTTTTTTAATCTTCTACTTTAAATCACCTAACTATTCATGTTATTGATACTTTCAAAGATTCTCTTTTGTTGGCAATTAAGAATTTCAGAAAGAAAAAATTATTCTGAGGGAAAGTTTAACTTACCAGTACCTAAACTGTTCACCTTTTAAATCAGATTTCTGTTTCCCACTAGCAAGTACGTATCTCTTTTTGGTGGAAAAATAAAGCCTCATTAAGCAGAAGTTTGAATAAAAGTTAACAGGAAATGTTAATAAGAAGTGATTAAAATCTGTGCCATAAAATAATTGAATATGCCTTTATGTAAATCTGATGGCAATGTACGTGACTTTCATTAATATCTGCTTTGTTCCTCCTACGAGCTAGTTGGTTTGGGTTTTTGTTTTTAAAGTTGAATAAGCAGAAATGGAAAGCCTTCTCACAAGGTTAATGTCCTTATCACACGCTCTGTGCCAGCTGGTGCCTCAGTGGCACCACGCCGGAGGCACCTCCGAGATGTTTTAAGACTGATGCTAATGGCAGATGTGTCGGGCAAGCACTGGCCCTCTACGACCCTTCCCACAGTAATCATAGAACCATAGAATGGTTTGGGTTGGAAGGGACCTTAAAGATCATCTAGTTCCAACCCCCCTGCTGTGGGCAGGGACACCTTGCACTAGACCAGGTTGCTCAAAGCCTCATCCAGCCTGGCCTTGAAGACAGTTATCCTCCATGAAGCACCCCTCTGCATACACGACCTCTACATTTGCTCCAGCCACGCAGGAATCTCTCTTCGATGTTTTGTACTGTCATGTACAACTACGGGGGACGGGTACAAGTTCCCTGCTTGGAATAATCAAATAAACCATGCCTGCACATGTACGGAAGCCATTCAGGAATCGTGGCCCTTGGCGTACCCTTTCACAGCCCTCTTCAGCCCCTTTAGACATTCCAGGCCATTGCCCTTCCCCTTGAGTGACCGCTTGCGTCAAGGAGAAAACCCTCCCCTGACTTGTGGTCACTTACCACACCAATCTGGCTTAACGTGGCATGTCTATAAAAACTGAAACAGCCCGAGTGTTTACTGGCTTGGCACAAGAACGTGTTAATCACCTAAGGATAGAGGGAGTTGGGGCGACATAGGTAGGGTGCGGTAACGGGACCGGATGATGCCTGACCTTCTTCACTGATTAATTCCTCCAAAACACGTATTTCTCTTGTACCTGCTGCCTGTTGAGCTACTGTTAAATATTAGGCGTCTGCGGTCAGTAAGCATGAGATGCACACAGAATATCAGTTCTAAACACAGTCAGAGTCCACAGCTGGCTAGGAGACTAAGCACTTTGACCATGGCTACTGTATTTCACGTTGAACTAACGAGGTGCTTACACATTAATCCTTATTAGAGCAAGCTTAACGGATCAGAACCCCTGCAGAGACTTAGCAATGACTCCCCATGAAGGGAAGCTTAGGTGGGAGGCAGGTGCCTTTCTGCCTGGCACTTCTGCACGCAGACAGCCAGCCTTGGGGCAGCTCGTCAACATAGGAAAAGGCTGGTTCAGCTATAAGAGCATTTAGTTTCTGTAGCGTTTTCCTGGACTTGGAGAAATTTAATTTTCCCAAAGTAATATTTTAATTGCCAAAGTAGACACGGTGGAGCTCTTCCTAAGTGCTGATGCAGCGTGCAATAAAGCCTGCACCTCCTTCATGAGCAGCTGAGTTCATGAAGGATGTTCCTGTGGGGTCTTTGTGGGGATGAAGCTGATGTTGTGCTGAAGCACAGAGAAATCAGTTTATAAAGGCCTGATTGTTACCATGTCCTCATGTATATCATAAAGGATTTCTCTGTAAATAATTTAAAATTGCATTTTAATATTACAAGGGTTAAAATTATGTATTTTCCTGATACATTTCTGTCTTTCTGCTTTCCTGCCATTTTTGATAGGCGTTCAATATATTGGAAACACCAACAAACACCCTCATGCCACAAATGAATATGGCAGCAATTGTTTTCTGCAGAGGGAACAGGCACGGGTTCAGACACAGGGTCTCGGGAAGCCATTGACAACCAGGGGACTGAGAGTGAACCAGCTGCACTCCAGCACCCCAGCCCGGTTCCCCACCACTGCCCTTAGCATTAGTTGTACTACAGAGGTTAAAAAACAGACTGATCTTTGCTTATTTATTTAGAGATACAGTATTTGAAATGGAGAGCTTATGGAGAGCTCTAAGCACCCTAGGGGATCACTAATAATTGCAGCACAGTTGTGAATTTCCCTCCCCGTTATGGCTGCAGATAAGCAGAACCCATAAAAATTGAGCTCGATTAAAAAGAACACAACCACAACCGCGCCGAACTGGAGAGGGGTTTAAGGACCTCAACAACTAAGCTTTGCTAATCACTCATGACTAATGGCGTTTCAAACATCATCTTCACTGCATTTGAGCCGGGCGAGAAATGTCATGGATTCCTCTGAGGCTTGTTCTGTCTTTCCCGACTAGTGTGGGAGAGACGGATTTAGAGAGGACACGCAGCACAGAAGCACTACCCACTCTGTTCCAAGCTGACCCCAGGGGGCTGCCAACCGCAAGATTCTTAAGGGGATGGCGAAAAAAATAGCAAATGGAAATATCCCTCTACATGGAGAAAGAAAAACGATAAGATGTTCCACCTCTAATCCAAAAGGAGGGAACGAATTCTTCAGCTGCAGACATGAAGATGAGTCTTCCTAACTTCAAAGCCATGCACTGGAGACAGCAGGAGATACCGGCTGGAATGATGACTGGCTCTGAGCACATTTTAGGATTTCTCAGTGCAGCCTGAGGTTTCCAGGTTATCAGAAAAGGGTGTCAGAGCAACACATCACCTGTGTTACCTGCTGGTAAAAGCTACCTTGTAAGGAGAGTCCAGTATACCCAAGGGTATCAGGGTGTTTTGAGAGGCTGGGTCATGGGGGCACTGTGTTTTTAACACATTAGCTCCCACTCATTTAAAAACAGGAGCTGATACCTGACTAGCAGCATGCACTGAAGTCTCAATGTGCATTAGCTGAGCAGTGTAAAAAGCTATTAAGGTGTTAAAACTGCAGTTGGCCTTGCCTGCTGTAGTTTGTCAATGTTAAGTCTGTGGGTGCTTAACGTGGATGCCCACAGCTCCTCCTGAAACACTACTACTGTACGCAGATGGAGAAATTCGGGGTACATCTGCTTTTTGGGCTGCGGACATGCGTGTGCTCCCTCTGTCCATGCTCAGGTGCAGGTCAGCTGCAGTCTGGGGTCAGGCCAGCGTGACTGTGCCAGGGTTGCGGTCCTGTCCCCCCGCACGGCTCAGCAGTGGCTTGGGCAGGGACCGGGCATCTGTCCGTGCACAGGGGGGTCCGTCTGAGCCGAAGGGCAGCGGCATCTCACAGCTGCCTTTGGGCACCTGTACCTGTGGAACCAGGGGTGAGGGATGAAGGGCGAGCTTCTCCCGCTCACGGCACAGCCAGGCTACGCCACAGACTAAGAGCACGTGGGGCGTTTTGAGGGAAAGTAGGAATCGCATTAGTCCTCCTCTCTGCTTCGATTCAAAGGCTGTACATGCCATTTGTAGTCTTTTTTCTGCTGCTGGGAGAGCCAGAGAGGCCAGCGCCATGCGAGGCTGGTGAGCCTGTTAAAGGCAGGGAGATGTGTAGGTGGTCCCACTCTGACAGACTGCGGGGGCTGCCTGCGCTCGGGAACTGCCTGTCCTTTACATCCCTGCTTCGCTCCTTTACGCTATTTTACATACTGAAAGGTTTTTATAGAGACCTTTTTTAACCTGAGGAGAGTTTTAAAGGCTCTAAAGGTCTGGCTGCTCTTTCCACTCCCAAAGCACTTGTAGTTACAATTAACATCTGTGTTAAGCCTACTGTCAATTAGCCTCAGCGATGTGAAAAGCATCAGGCCCGGGGAGGGAAGGCTTTCCCAGGCAGAACAGTGAAGGAAGAAGAGCAACCTGCTTTAAAAAGGGAAAGAAGCAATAAAAGCCAACAGACATGTGAGGCTTGCCCGACAGAAGAGAGACGATTGTCTGGTGCTCAGCAGCTGGGGGGTACAAGGCCCTGAGCATCACCCACTGTGCGCGGTGGGAGGTGCTGCTCATCAGCCCCAGCCGAGGGCACGTCGCTAGCGGGGAGATCACTTGCCCGGCTGGTTTGCTTTGCTGGTTAGATTTACTGATTCGGTCTCCCAGGCTGAGAATGATTTAGCTACTTTCCTTTTCTAAACTGTCGAGGAAAAAAGCTTTGCCTATTTGCTATTTTTATTCTGTCAAAAGTTTCCAAAAGTTTTAGAAATTTCTCTTAGTTTTAGAAATAATAGTGCTTGAATTGGTAGTTTTTTTCTGGTAGGAAGAAGAGTCTTATTTTGACACCATCAGACTGAAAGAGCAAAATTAAGATTTTCTTCAACCTTATGTTTTTGTATTTATGAAAAATCAAATTTCATTTTTATGTCAAATTTTATTATCACTATTAATTATTAACATTATTATTACTACTATTACCACATTCGAAAATTGCTAACAAATCTGAAGGCCCTGTTAGCTCTTCTCTAACAACAGTTCTGGGTTCTCCTGTCTGAAGCTAAGACTTTGGGAATATCTGCTTGGCAAGAACTCCCTGTGTCCAGGGCTGCTGTCCCTATGCTGCCAAGGAGCAAGTCCTTCCCTGCAACCAGGTTCATTTGTACAGCCCAAGGAATGGTCCAAGAGGGCCAGCTGAGATTGTCCTCGACTTTGGGGGGCTCTACGGCACAGCAGACTCCTACGATCTCCAACCAGCCCTGATGTGGTATGAGATAGTGGTGGGAGAATTCCTAATGGGAAATACTTTAGTGCGTCCCCCGGCAGTGTGTAACTCATGGGACTGTTCCAGTTAGCCTAGTTAATACAGACCTCCAGCTAGTCTTACACCGGAGTCAGGGCTGTGCCGGTCAGCCTCAGGACCCGCAGCACTGTGGCACAGCACCGCTGTTGCTCTGAGTACAGCTCAGTGCACACTGAGCCCCTTCCCATCCCTCCTCCTTCCTCACTATTCAGAGCCTTTTGATGAAGAGGTCTGGAAGCTCCACGGACTCGGCTGCACTTTCCTGACTCTACGCTGCATCCCACAGGAAGCAACAGCAACAACGAACTGGCACAAACTAAACATTAATTACAGCTAATGAGGGGTTTGGCATTAAAATGACAAGCCATTCACTTCCTATGACTGTCCTAAGAGCATTTTTAGAAAAGAGTTGCATGCATGGGGCTATGCAAAAAAAGGCACAGCATTCCAAAAGCCTGGTAAGACTTCCCAGCAGTGCCAGGTGGTGGTGAGAAGCTCGTTGGGTCAGGAATATGCTGTATTTGACAAATGACTAGTCACTGTTTATCACTTGAGACAAATGCAATCTAAAAGATTGTGTTTTCTGACACAGCTCAGTTCAGCTGTTGGATAACTGGTACCAAAACCAATCAGGCCCCTTTTATCCCCCCCTGTCTGTCTTCCATACATACTAATAAAGGCATTTAAAATCTAATCTCCCTCTTGTCTTCCCAAAATGGAATCCAGAGGAGCCAAATATGACAGTCATTTTGCAGAGAAGCCTCGCAGGGGCATTAGGGGTAACGTACAGTTTTAGTTCCCTAATAGAGTTTTAAACCCCTGAGAGATAAAGTAAAGTCAGCACGTAAATGAGGCGCTTGCTCCAAATAATTAGTGCTTCTGGAGCACTTTTCATCTTCAAAGGGCTTTGTGCACATCCTTGGGAGTGTGGTACACAGCCCCTTCTTGACAGATGGAGAAAGAGGCCAAGGGTATTTCATGTTTGCAAACAGGGCTGGGGAAGGGTCTGGAGGGCTGGTGAGGCTCGTACTCAGAATTCAGGGACTATTTTCCCTGCTTATAGAAAGCCAGGTGGATTTCTGCACAGCATGCCAGCTCAGAAGTTGAGCTCGGCAGGATGGGGAGCCAGCTCAGCAGCGCTGGGCTGTAAGCATTAACCTGGGTCTACAGTCAAACCACAAGGGACGCATCTGACCTTTGAATAATTGAGCACTGCAGTGGAGAGGCTTCAGTAACCGAGCTCACAGCATGAGAAGAGGAGCTGTTGGAGGTCAGGGAGGGAAACATTCCTCAGTTTTTCATTAATGAGAAAACACAGATGAAAACTCAGCTTCGGAATACAAAGGAACAGACCTTTTTGCAAGGGAAATGACAACAGTGGGGTGGGTTTGGGGTTCGGTGGGTTTAAGGTATGGTCTATGGTGCCTGCGAGGCTGTTTTTTGCTGGTGTGAAAGGTCACAGTAAGGTGGGTCAAGGGGAAGCAGTTAGAGCTCAGTTTGACGCTAAGGAGGCAGAGCTCCATAAGCTAGGCTTGTCCCGAGGGGTTGTGGAAAAAGGCAGCTGCAGCCAACTTCTTTATCACAAAATGATTTGGGTTTGAACGGACATTTCAAGGTCACCAAGTCTAACGCCCTGCAGTAAGCAGGGACACTTTCAACTAGATCAGGCTGCTCAGAGCCCCGTCCAACCTGGCCTTGAATGTTTCCAGGGATGGGGCATCTACCACCTCTCTGGGAAACCTCTGCCAGTGTTTCACCACCCTCATCATAAAAAATGTCTTCCTTAGATCTAAATCTTAGTCTAAATCTACCCTCTTTTAGTTCAAAACCATTACCTCTTGTCCTGTCACAACAGACCCTACTGAAAAGCTTGTCCCTGTATTTCTGATAAGCCCCTTTTAAGTACTGAAAGGTCACAATAAGTCTCCCTGGAACCTTCTCCAGGCTGAACAACGCCAACTCTCTTGGCTGTTACTCACAGGAGAGGTGCTCCAGCCCCCTGAGCATCTTTGTGGCCCTTTATCCAGTTGGACCTTGCCTCGTACAGCAGCTCCACAGGCTAATCTTACTTGGCTCGAGTCCCAGAGGCAGTGGCCCGTATCACACCTTTCCTCCTCTGGTGCAGATGATCCCTCTGCCTCGCCTGTTAGCAGTGACTGCAGGTTCCCTTTTGTCATGCCTTTTGCATACGGTATGATTATTTTTCTAAGTGAATAAACTGTTCCATTGCTTGTCACTTGCAAATATATCAAAAGGACACAATTACAGCTAATACTCTTGATATTTTTTCAACCACACACAGGGAAACGCAGGGTTTAGGTTTCCGCAGCAATGTAATTACGCTTGGAACTAAACTAAACCTTTGCTTCAGAGGTTCTCTCTGTACTTGTGTTCTCTAAGAGAGCTAACACCAGTTTCCCAAATCGCATGACTGAGGCATGGGGAGTTCAGAAGATTTGCATAATGGGAAACCTCAGTGCAACTGGGAAGTGAAGATATAACCCAGGAGTCCAGACCTGCTTACTTTCTCTGATCAGCAGATTTCCCTCCCTCCCTCCCTCCCCTTAATATGATACTACAAAACCATTTTGAAGTCGAATAGGCTACCAAGTATGTAATAAGGCATCAGGACTGACTGCTCCAGAATAAGAAAACTTTTGCAAATCTAGCTATTACATTAAAAAGACTGATTCATTTGAAAAGAATTATCTCACCAAACATTTTGCAAGACTGATCATATGTTATTCCAAGGAAACTTTGAGGTGACTTCGAGAAATTACACTCAGCCATAGAACAAAAAGAGGCTGTGGAAATATTCCCTTCTGCTCAGATATTTTTAATAAAGGAAAGCTTGTTAAAAATAAACCGTAAAGAAGATTTGGGCGGAATCACAAATCATCTCATTAGCATTTGGGTGAAAAAAAACCAAAGATGAAATATCAGCTTGTAAAGTCTTCTCTGCAAAGCTAATTTTCTCCCCCTTCCATCTGGTTTATCTGTATTCCAAAACTCTCATATTAAAAGAAGTTTCTAAAATGGCAATTCCGGACCATTTTTGTTCTTACTAAACAAAGCAGTGTACACCCAATATAGAAATATAAAGAGGAACGCAATGAATTAGAGTTGGGTTTGTTGGTTTTGGGTATTATTTTTTTTTTTTTGTCTGACAGTTGATTTTTAAAGCCAAACCCAGGGTTTAAAAAGGAAAAAGCTGTGGGTGATTTTACACCTGCATAGCTTCTTACCCCAAAAAGCAACCATAGAACTAACTGAGCCTTTAGTCTCTGGTCAAACACAAACTGACATCAGGGATCTGGCAAGGACCAGCATCATAGGATCAGACCTTTAATAGGAGGGGCACCCCAAGCACTTACAAGACTGATAGAGGAAAAGGAGACAGGGCAAATGCAAAAACAGCATATGAAGGGCAAACTGGATATTCTGCTGTAGACAAGAATTTGAAATTTGCCCAATGGCACTTCTCAACATTTTGTGGACTCTGATTTGGAGAACAGCAGTAAAAAAAGTGACACTTTCCTGCAAGGAAACAATTAGAAAAGTAGACTATAAAAATGGCACTACAAAGAAATATCTAGAATTTTAAAGGTGGTATTCAAACAGACAATCTTTATTTTGCAGTTTATTAACTTTGAGCGTAATCTTTTATAAAGAACATTAAAATGAAAGTTAAGAGAAACTTACCCCATAGACCAGTTCACCCACCATGCCATTCCATATCTTAGTCTCAGGGTCCCTAGCTCCATATTTCCCATCTCCAACAATTGACAGTTTGTATTTTATTCCAACATGTTTTGCTATTTCAGAAGCTAAGTCTACACAATATCCTTCATATCTCTCATTCCCTTCTAGTTGTTCATGGTTTTTCTTATACATTACATATGGTGATTCCTTTGAAACAAAAGTAAAGATCAAAAGTCTATGAATGTAAAATACAGCTTTAAAACACACAAAATGAAAGCTGTTATTATCCTTTATGTTACTGGCAAGTATTTACAATCTTTCCTGCTTTGGTACAGAAATTAGAAAGACAAACTTTTGCAGTTTAAAAAACCTTGGCTGATCCTACAGCCACACATACTATTTATTTTAACCCTAGTACGGACCCATTGAAGACAACAGGACTATTCTACTTTAACAAAATTACACTTCCGTTTGCAGGATTAAGTCTAATTAGACAGTCAAACAGCATCACCGTATCAGTAATTCAGGTTTTACTGTTTACAGAACTGACATACCCAACACCTGTAACATCAAAATCATTTCCTAAGGCCCCAGTGCCCTAGAATGGGGCTGTGATGGAGATATTTTCAAAGCAGCCTAGGGGAAGGTAGGCTAAAATCCTCAGCAGAAATTTTTGTCACTAAATTCCCTCAGTCTTCTGAGAAACTTCTAGCTGAAATGCTGATTATATCTCGCTAAATCCACAGGAGTATAAAATACAACGCTTCAGGAAATAGCACAAAATTGGCTCATGCTTAGTAGAATTGTAACAGGCATGTAATTCACAAACAATACTGTACAGAGCATGTCTGCTAGAGGCATTGGGGCTGACAGAGGTGCTGCTGTTTATGAGACACGGGAAGAGCTTTACTCCTTTGGAATTGCATGGGCATAGGTCGCTTCTCATGCAGTGCTAGGGCAGTTCTAGTTCTCTACAGGCTTCGTTGTGTCACCCTTACTCAGTCCACAGGGGTTGAGTTTACAGGAGATGTACCTGAGTGAGGGGTGCAAGATTTGGCCCTACAGCAGGATGGCCAGATCCTGCAGTCATTTAGATACATGCATAATAACTTCTGTGAGGCGTTCGATTGAGTTCAAGCGTCTGAGAAGCAGCAAAGAGCAATGGTGAGCTCAGTGAGCTCCTCCTGCGAGTAAACTCATTGATATATGTGGAAAATTGCAGGGTAAAGCCCTGTGTACATCTCTGCAAGATACCAAACATTTCAGCCACTTGAAGTCACACAGTATTTGAGGTTTGCCTCCTGGCAAGGTGTCTAACACACCTCAGGAGCCACGTGTCTTGTTTCCTAAACACAAACACACTAAGAACATAAAACTTACCAAGATGGTAGTGACTACTATAGTCCTGTTCTCCACAGATGACGTGTCATTAGAGGGCAGCTGATCTAATGCTGGCACAAATCTTTCATATTCGTTCCAGTAACCAGTCTATAAAAATGGAGATTGTTACCCCCTTACATACATTTACAAGGACTCTGGTGCACAAACTTGAAACAGGAACTGTCAAAACATAGGGCTTTGTGACACTCATGCAACAATTTTGACATTAAAGGACTACATTAGCTTTAATCCAATTTCCTTATAGAAACAATGTTCTCAAGCCCACCTGCAAATAAATACAAGCCAAATCTCAGTACAAATATATATTAAATTCTACCTAAATTCACATCATCATGATGCCTGTGGAATAAATTCCCATGTATCCACAACATCAGAATCTACTATGGACAAGAAAATGAACTGCCCAGCACTTTGAGAAAAATTCTTTGATTTTCAGATGTTTCATCCATATTCTGCTGCAGTTCAGAGAGGGACTACAGTCCCTGCAAACATGCCTGAGCGAGCTTTAGAGTAGATGTGGGCATCGTTAGCAATGCGGGCACGGCAGCATTATCTTCAGGACAGGACACAAAACCCGCTGGGAGCACGAGGTGCCTATTTGTCAGCTGGCTTGTGCTGACCTTCCTGGTCCCGTGGCTATATTGCTATGCTATTACATGAGTTTTTGTAATTCTGCACAACACAGAAGTAACTTTTAGGTGCTTTTCTCTGCACCGTACACCTAGCTGGGCCAGGTATTTTGTTATCAACTGTGTGCAGAAGAGTTTAAGGAGCCTCAGCAGCGACTAAGCAGGTTAGGTACCTATCACCGGGTGAAATCAGTGGGGTTTACATACCTTGGCCACACAGACTCTTCTGTCGATACTCCTGAGACCCTGTCTACCTAATTATTTTTGAAAATCTGTCCTAAATTTCTTTTACAACAGACACCTAGGTAACTATCTCACTTAGGATCTATATTTTGTTTAGGATACAAGAAGATGAGTAGCAACTCCTAATTAAAACCAAACTTATTTTCTGTTAATTTCAGAAGGTTTCTAAAATACACTGGCTGCAGCTTTACTACAGCTCCAAGGCCTAATACGGAGAGGAAGGGTAAGATGAAGGGGAATTTAGGAGACAGGGCTGAGCACAGGACCATGACAGCAGATATTATGCTTGGCAGTGGAAAAACTCCAGAAGGGTTTTAAGGGAAAAAGGGGTCTGAAGTTGGCATGGAAACCAATGAAGACCTTAAGCAGTGTGAGTGGTTTGGTCGAGAAACAGAACAGAACAAGGTTCCTGGGATAGGGAAGACAGCAAGAAGGTGGTATTTCCTCCGGGGCCTGTTATTTCTGAGTTTCATTAGTGTGTTGGAATAAATAATTGTGAAGGTGTGAAATCTGGATGGATATCTTGAAACTCACCTTCCGTGATCCAGCAGCTTTCATTTCATACACATCAATTGTGTAATTTGTTCTCCGCCCATAGGTGTCAAACTGGATGTTCCCCGTCATTCCTTGAACTTGCACCTTAAGGGAATAAACAGTAAAAACATTTTAATAAAAGATTCACTTTATTTTTCCCTTTGTTACATTCTGCAGGAACCCACTAGCTCTAGCACTACTTTTATCTATATGAGACTTTTGACAAAGCCTGTTATATTCTTTGTAACAAAACCATCTCAATTCTGTTTCAGCTGTACATATTCTTCATTAGTTAGCGCTCAGCTGGTGACTCACTACCACAGAGTGAGCTGCATTTAGGTATAAGTGGAATTAGCCCTGCACGTATGCTAAATGGAAGAAAGACTGATTCTGCCATGCTTAGTCACGCTGGGTTCACTGATACAGTATGGAGTATCAGCGAGGCACATGCAACAATTCAGTGCCATTAAACCCCTCACAATACGGTGTACAGTGATTTGCAATACGGTCCAGAATCCCATATCATTGCTCATTCTGGGAAGTGCTTTATTTTAAGATCAGTGCCAGTGTAGGAGAAAGGAATGGATGTCTTCTCTGAACGAGCGGAGACAATTGTCTCTACTGCTTATGGAGTTTTGGTCTCAGTCTGGACGGATAGGTGTACAGGCGGTAAGTCATTATCATTACCTGCTCATATGAATCATCTGAAGGGGAAGTATAAAGTACTTTGTTTCAAAGAAAAAATCTTTCTTATTTCCCTGTATGAAAGGGTGAGATATTTCCATTTATCACTTATCAAAACTGACAAGCTGTCATCTCAGGCAGAAGGGGTAACAGCCTGAAACTTCAGTAGGGGTAAATTAGCTTTAATATTTACTAAAATACTGTAGAAATTACAGGAATAGGTGATGGAAGATTAGTGAAAAGGACACTGTTCAGGGCTGGTGACTGATCTGCTATTTACAGTTTAGAGATGGTGCAATCAACTCATTATGGCAGACAAGGCCACATAAAACAGACAAAATTCCTTGAACCCCAAACTATCCACTGAGCCAAATTCAGACTGACATATAAGCTGTGATTTTTTTTTATCAGTAAGTGGGTTTGAACCTTTCTTAAAATAGTTTATATCATCTCAGGGGTCTGGAAGAACATGTGAGTTATTCCTGTCTCCAGAAAGCTAGAGAGGTGGATGGGGCCTTGAAAGCTAAATTTGCCCCTAAGTGGTCTTATCAACTGTGGACTGAACAAATGTATTTGTAGGGTAGTTGACACATGCAGACAGATGCCTGCATAAGGGGCGAGAGCAGGACGGACAGGATGGGGTCCGGAAGGTAGTGTGGGATGATCTTGGGTAGCATTTGTTGGAGGTGTATATAAACCACACTTAGAGGACTTTGGGCAGCTAAAATACAGAGCAACCATCTGAATGTCAAACTTCTGCTTTTTTTCCAATCATAAATTGAGAGAAAAAGTTCATAATTCTTACGAATTATGTTTTTTAAAGAAATTAGCTTGAATAAGGGAGTGCCCTGTAGTAGCGTTGGTTTTCTCTGTTGACATGAATACCTCGTATCTCATTCAGAGGAGTTTTACGTTTTGCTTGTAATTAAGTTCAAATGGACAGTACAAATTCTTTAACTATTATGAAGGTTGAATTTAATTAACTCCTCTTCAAAAGTGTGTAATGCTACATTAGTGAACGTGCAAGTTAAGGCATTTATTAGGAAGTGACATAATAGCATAAAAAGAGCTCTGGCAATATGGAAGTGAACCATTTCTCTCACTCTTAAGAGTGATACAATCTGACTGTAATCTTCTGTAATTCATTATAACCTTCTGATATAATCCTTCCAATCTGGTAATTGAACAAAAAGCAGTAATTAAGCTTAGTGTAGGAAGGCTGACCTAGGATTTGTTTATACCTAACATGGGCTTAATTCTGATCTCACTTGCTCCAGTTATATGCCTGCATTAATATAATCAATTCTAACAGGTTTGATTTAGAGTCACAACCCCAGGGGGATATGATTTTGGCCAAAGTTTTGAAAGCTAATTTGTTACGCCTTGCCCTCTACTAAATATATTTTAGCAATCCTTTTTGGAGTTTGTCATTAAGTTTGTTTTTTATTTCTTTTTTTTTTTTTTATTTTTCCGAGGACCTGAAGCTGTTTGCATGAAGACAGAAATTCTGTGTACATGGAGTAGTGGTATTTTGCTAGCCGGAGTTAAACCACGACAAGTAGGATGCAAGCTCGGTCTCAGCATAATCGCTGCTCCTGTGGAATATACACATTCATTAGCTGGTATGTTTGCCCTTACCATTTTCAGCGCTCTTTCTATATCAATTCCTTGGCTCCATGGTACTGCAGGGTTAGCCAGGCAGTCTCCAGCACTACCTCTCCTGGAGACATCCACACGCTGTCTTCGGAGGTAACGGAAAGCCTCTGCTATGACTAGGACTGCATCATGGGTCAGTGCAGATGTATACTGAAATTGATGCAAATAAAATATGGTGAAAAACTGCAATCTCAGAATTGTCTCAGGTTTATCAGGCCTATCCTCTTTGTTAAAATACTCTCAGAGGAACTATGCTTGCAAGCCCTTTTGTTTGCTCTCTGTCTTGCCACAGGTGGTTTATGGAGTTTAACAATTCCATCTATTTCAATTAACAAGTCAAAAATACTTTCATTTTATATTTTTCATTGCATATAGTGGCAAAATAACAAAACCAGGTTATAGTTGCATAAAGTTTAAAATTAATCAGAAGCTTGCTCATCTAACTGAGATCACTACAAAAGTCTGCAATTCCATGCTGGCCCATACTGCTACCAAGAGCAAAGAGGAGCTCATATATTCTTCTTGCTTAGAGTATTTTTTTTTTTAACAAGATTGCCAAGACAGTTTTGAATCGAACTTAACATAAATCATTTCTGTTTGTACCACAGTCCTGACCAGGTAGCAGCTGTGGCAAGGAATAGATTACTTTTCTTAGAAGACAGCTATACAAGCAAGTAATCACAAAATACACTTCAGGCATTATATCTCCTTGGTAATCGCCCATCTGCCTTCTCTTACTCCACGGTAAGTTTGAGGAGGGCGGTAAGATTTGTGTAGCAGCAACTCTTCACCAAAACCTCCAGACTCCTTAACTTCTTGTTCATGTTGCTGTTAACTTCACCCATCACTTGTTGGATTTATCTGGTTCCATCCCCCCTAATGGTATAAAATTGGTATCGTCTATGAAACATCATGGAGGTTTGTTTTTTCCACATTTTTTCCACATTTATGTGTTTGTCTGAAAGTTATTCCCTCCTAGAGCAGCCCAGGCATATGACATCAATGGTCTTCACCAGCATTACAACACACCTATAATTTAAGGTCTATATAGAGGAGACCATCTCACCATGTACATACTGGGAGCAATTGAATGTGCTCCATGTGCAAGACCAGATTTCAAACTTCTTGTAACTGCCCCTTTTTATTTCCACAGGGTTTGTAAGAGAACAAAGAGAAGTAGGTGTATGTGCCTGTACTGGGTGTCTGCCCTTTTTTTGGCTGTCTGTGTGATACCATAGAGCTCAATTAACCTCTCGCTAGAGTCGGTGCCAGAAGACACACTGCCCATGCGTGAATTACAAAGGTGGAAATCCAAGTTTCAACTGCACATTCAGCTACTCTCTTTATGGATAAGACTTATTAAATTCAGAAAAAGTTCATTCACAACTGGTGGTATTTCTTTAAAATGTGTATTATCTTACTGCAAGCTCTTCAGCTGTAGGCAATCGGCACAGAACAAGGTGAGTCCGTGTGTGCAGACCATGAGAATCGTGTCCGATAAAAAAGAGTGCAAAGGTAGGATTGTGAAGGCGGTTGTACAGCAGTCATACTTACTGAGTTTTAAACAACAGCAGTTTATAAACTCTGTGTGTGGGGTGGCTCCTGCTCTGAGTGTATCTCAGTAGAAGCGTTCTACTGATCCTGCCCACCCTCACCTCTTCCTGAGATGCTGTGCAATGATCACGCTCTCCTCTTTTAGTAAGTTAACAAAGTTTGTATGTCCCGTTCCACACAACAACATAGAATCAGATAGTAATTTTAAGGTATTTGTTCTTGTATTAAAAAAATATTGTAATAGCTGTCCAAACTAGCACTACATAAAACTTACACGCTGATAATTTTTTCAGCAGGCTGCACCAATTGTCAGTAACCTTAATGCAGTCCCTTCCAAGTCATGCCAAGAGAGCTATCTAATTTTCTACTTTATTTGAATTCCACTTATAAATGCATGAGCATGCAAAGAGAAAAAAAGAGAGAGAAGGGAAAGGCTGATAAAATACAGAATAAATTAAACATCAGGGCTTTAATCTCTAGGCAATTTTATTTCCTAATCAAAAATATTGTACATCAATTTTTAAGTATGCTTTTTGTCTGATTGACAAATACTGTGCACATTTCTATAATGAGTGGTACATTTGTGGAAAGGTAATGTAATCTTTGTGTTTGTACCATATACTTAAGATTATTTTTTAAGGATGGAGAATAATTTTTCCCTCAAGGTAAATTGCTTTCAAGTGGAATAAAATCTTCCCAGGTTAACTTTATATATTTCAGAGCTTTTAAGATTAGTGCGATACTTATCTTTCCTTCTGCATCACTGCTTGGAAGCTTTAGAAAGCAGGCTTAAGTCCTAATCAACAGGGAACAATACACTAATCCCAGTTTTGTGGGCCTCTGTTTGCTTTTCTTTGCTTCCTCTGAAATGCCAGCAAGGCTGTGGGATGGCATGGGATTAAGATAAATTTCCTTCCCCACAGAGATCACATGATCCCAGGGAGGGAAAAGCATGCCTTCGAATGGCATTGGCAGCCCCGCAGCTGGTTCCTGTTCTGTCTGTAGTCCAACACAGTGCTACCGCCTACCCGTGTAACCCCCACGCGCTGGGCTGGACTGGGGTTTTCCTTCCTAGCTGGTATGATATTCTTCTCTGAATACCAGTAACCCACAGTTTGCATGTTACAACTAACATAACTAGACCTCCTGCCCATGCTAAGACTAACTTAAGAAGTTCAAGTTACAGGTTTTTATTCAGCTGCACAATGACAGGATTTGCAAGACCAAGTGTTGACCTCTGAGGAACTCTCACCACACTGGGCACTTGTGTCCAACTAACAGGCTCTGCCCTTCTTTCTTCTGGAAGGGCAGTGAATGTTGCAACATAATCTAACCAGGGATCTGTATCATACACAGGCAGGTATCTGGGGTTAAAAACCCGCAAATAAAAGTTAAAAGCAACTCATATAGTCTCCATCCCTGTCAGGGTAAAATAAATACCTTTAATGGCGAGTTTTTGGCTTCAGGGAATTCCCTTTCATCAAGCCTCTTGCTGAACCATTGGGTTTTCATTATTAACAATCTGGAATCCAGTAACGTTGGCACCTCCGTGCATTACTCTCTCCAGAACAATGTCTGTGAAACCCTGGGAGGACACATGTAAAAAACAAGAATCATTGCCATCCAAAGTCCCATTTCTTTGGCTCAGTTTTACCTGCTACAAGGGTAGCACAAAAGAAACAGATTAATTTCCCTCTTGTTAGCTAAAAATATTCTACCAAGGAGACAATTACTATCATAACTGGGATTGTAATAGTGCTATAGAATAGAATTTAAAATATCTTCTTGTTCAGACCTTTGCGATAGAAAGCTGCACTGTGGTGCTATGGCGATGTGGTACGTAATATTCACTGGTCAGAGAGAAAACAGCGGGGATATGTGAAGTACTATTTCCTCTTTTCTCCTCTACATCATGAAAACTGGTCAAAGACCTTAGCAAAGTGTGCACAAAGGTTCAGCGCCGGGAGCAGAAAGCCATTAAACACCCATAATGTTCTGCGGAGGCAAAGCCTCCTGGCAAGGCAGTTCTCCGTCACAGCACTACTTAGCATTTCACTTGCAAACAGAATGGTATGATTCTCTCCCACTCTGTTGTTATTTATACCCGAGGCAGTAAATCGGTGTCTGTTTGATTAGTATGACTTGATTGCAGTCATGTTTATCTGAATGTCAATGGTTACACATGCTAAAAGGTAACCCAGAATAAGAACCGTGTATTTCTATGCACATGCTAATCAGTGAGATCATGACTAGCTCTTACAATGCAAAATGACACATCTTAAAGTCATAGAGTACTGATACTTAATAAGAGTATTTTAAAATTTGTCTTTTATGCTTTAAACACACCAAAACACGAATACACAGAATATTCTACTAAATGGGATTGCTAGCTTAAAAGTGTGAGCTGTGCAAAAGCATTTTTCCACTCACAGTGAAACAGAACCCAAAAATTAGTCTTGCTGCAGGATCAATTACAATATAATACTTTTTCTAAGGAACTCTAGCAGATGGTGTTTCAAAGGCGTCATAAACATCCCTGAAAGTCAATTCTAGAATCCATAAGAAGCTCTGATACAGATAGAAATTACTGTCTTGTCCTGGTAGGTCAACACATACACAGGCACAACCCTATGCTCTGAAATACAAAAGAACAGCTAAACTTATGACTAGTTGATGGAATTGGTCTATTTTGCAGCTTTTTTCCCCACTTATTATTATTCCCACAAATTATTTTTCCTCAGTGCTTAGGTTTCAAATATGTTACATAGAAGATTATGGTTATCACGTATCTTATTTATGAGGATACAAATTAGTGAAAAACATATAATTAAATCATTATTTTAAAATTAGTAGAGGGTATGAGCTGCTTAGACAAAAGAAAGACCACAATTGAATACAAATGACTGCAGCATACCAGTTCTAGTATTTTCTGAAGTAATTTCTCAAAATGCAAGAATTCATTCATGGATCTCCTCTTTTGCTGATTAAAGTTGACACAACCTGAACAGAATATATTACCCTCTAAACCTTAGCAATACTTGTAAAGAAGGAAAGCTCTTACCAGGTTAGCTAACATGTAGTGATAGCCTCTAGAATGTTTGCCAAGGATTACAACCTGTGAGGAGAAAAAAATGACGTGAATCAGTTGTAAAAGGATGACTCTTAACTAGTGTAAAACAGCTACAGAATGTACATTTTGGTAATCCTCTACACCCAATCGATGGGCAGCATGAGTATTACAGATCTCTGACTTCACAGACATGATGCAGACATTTTTGATTTTAAAACACATGGGCAGAGTACACGAAGTAACTCACACGGCTGAGAAGACTGCACTTGCAGAGATGACCTTACCTGTTAAACTCCCCCTTGTGACCACAGTGCCTCCCTGGCTGACCAGGTCAATTTTAGTTATCAGTTCAAGTATTTTGGCTCTGAAATGAGGGAACACTGGATCTGTTTACTTTGTTCCTTGTTTGTGTTGTATGAGAGGTGGGCGACACAGCCCAGGCACTCACTGTGTTTATTAGACTGTACCAGCACAGCGGGGCTCGGTAGCTCCAGGTCATACAGGGGTTTTCCTGCCATGAGAACCCTGGCTACGCCTTGTCATCTATGAATGAACCAGAGTTACCATGTCTCTGCAGCAGGCTCACCAGCAACACCCCTTGTGCAAGATTATGTCATTGCACTTAGCACTATTCCCTTGCCTTCAGACTAGAACCTCAGTAACATCCATCCGCTCCACAGCCATCAGGGGGAACCATGTCCAGCAGTAAGAATTTAATCAATAATTGTGGTGATTATGTGTGTGTCAGGACAGAATCAAACTTACCCAGACTTGAACTAATAAAAGATAAAAATAGCAAACATAATGCTGGTGATATACCACAGGTATCACTGACTATATCCTCTAGCAGCTCAAGTGAACAGATGATGCTTTTTGACGGAGAATCATCTGAAAATCTATACAAACCATGCTAACGTACTTTGCCATGGTCACAGATAAGCGCTCCAAATGCCATATTCTAAAAGACATCTTTTCAACATGACCACTTATGTCTTTGCTAAAAACAGAAGACATTTGAGTCATTGACTTTAGATATACTGCTGAGCCTGTTAAAGTTCCTGATTAAATTATTAAGTTCCCAACTGCCTCTTTGGGTTGTCTTGTCCTTAATAGATGTAATTTCTTTTAAATTCACATTTAATTCTGTAGGAATTTGCATACTTCCAGCAATCTGAAAATAAATTGCTGTTCAGGTCCTCTTGAGAACTGTATGTACACTCTGTTGGTAGAAAGCATCTGCTTTCCTACACTCACATTTGTTTTCTATGGAAATATGTGCAGGCTTCCTTCAGATCATCTGGTGTGCATGCTATTTGCATACTGAATTCTCTGTATGTTTTAATTTCACCTTACAGGCAGCGATTTACTTTTAAAAGGTTAGAGACAAAGAACTTGTTTAACAACAACAATACTCTCTGTCCTTTTAACCTTAATAACAAATAAGAAAGCATTTACATTTCTATCCTGGAATGTGTTTATTTAACAGAAAAATACCATCACAGATGAAGTCAGAGGCTGTAAGAAAAACATACATGGAGCTGCTACAAGCACCGGGAGCAGTACTGTAAAGAGGAAATGTAGGACTCATTAGCATAGATCAGATAAACTTCCATCTCATCTGATGTCTCCAAAATGACCAGAAATGATTGTTTTGTCCCTTAGAGAGGCCCAACGTACTACAGTCAAGCTTCAATTCATGAAGCATCTTTCAGAAGTGACCTGCCAGTATTTCTACTCACACTATTAACCCAGTTAGTTCATAATTATTTAACTAGAGATAAATAAGATCTTAAACATCTTAAGAATGTTTATAAAATCCACTATGCACACTGTCCTAAATCTTACCAAGCACAACTCTCCTCCATCACTTTCCACCCTCCACCAACAGTCCAGAATCTTGGATGGAGCTGCTGGATTAGCAAGCCCAGCAGAAACAACCACAGACATCAGTGTTACTCCTTGGGGAGCGAAGGGATGGATAAAGCTTTTTTATGAAGAAGGAAAACAGGAGTATAACAAATAAATCTCATCAACTGCTTATATATTGTGAAGCTTATATAGAAAGTGGGATATTGAATAGTGGTGGTGAATAGAAAGCCAGGATTACAGGACGAGGATTTCACAGAGCTACATGTCTTTGCAAAGTTTCACTTCCGAGACTTAATATTGCTTTCACCTTGACTGAAAGAAAAGCTTATAAGATTTTATACTGAACAAAGGAGGAGGGAAAAAAAAAATAGCTGGAAACTATCATGAATAATTCAGACTTCTGATCCCACATAATTCTTGCCTTGTAGATAAAAAGATCATAATGTCAGGTTTGATATAGAATCAAATAAAGTTTGTGTTTTTAATTAACTCTTCAGATATTTCCAATTAATTAAGAGAAAATGTAGAGGGAACATAATTAAAATGTATCTGGTTTTAAAATGAAAGTCAAATCTGCTGGCCAGCACCAGGCTTACTGGAAGTACAGACCTATATGCCAGATCTGAGAAAATAAGTCAGAATTGCCAATTTTAGTTTTTCATTTGCCTGGGGAAGTTATTTTTTAAATGAAAGCATGAAGACAACTTGGTTTCTAGTGCATCAGTAATCGTGATAACAAACAGGCAACTTCAAGTTGGCAGTTGCCTTAGCTTTTACATTTTTCTAAGAGTTCTGGAAGATAGCATTATAGAGATTAACTCACTAATATTAAATCGGTATGGAGCTTCATGATATTTATAAAGCAATAATAATAATTCTCTCATGATGTAGTTCAAAGGCTACACAACACCTAAGAGGAGGAACAGTGAAGAGGAAGCAAAATACCTGTAATACTACCCTCACAATTACACCTTTACCTTTTGACTTACTCTCTACTCAAATTACAACCACAGCTAGTTCCTGGTTTAGAATGTGCATCTGTGTTTTTTGGCCATGGAAATTAAATGTTGGGAGTTAAGGGTGAAGGGAATATTACAAGGTGAACCCCTAGATGAAAGTCAAGGCAGGGAAAGTATTTTAAACAGTAGTGATGGAGACAGATCTGGGGGTTTCACTGGAATATTTCTCCAAGGAGCTGACAAGGAACTAGAATACTAAGAACAGAGTGTGTAGGTGAGCAGTCGTAACAGACCATGACAGGGAAGAATGGGTTAACAAAAGACAAGACAGTTCAAAAGAAATGAAGTGACAGAATAGTGAAAGTTGGGTAGGTGGGCCTCAGCAGCCATACTTCGTCTTTTAAAAATATCAGCAGTTTGCCTGACTCATAAAAGGCAAATATTTTTTCTTTTATGGATGAAGGAAAACACAGAACAGGTGAGGCTGGCACGGGTCCTTAGAGACTGCCTATTCCAACCCCTCAAAGCAGGGGCAGCTAGAGCAGGCTGGCTTAGGACTGTGCCCAATCAGGTTTTTCAATATCCTCAACACCAGAGATTCCACAAGCTCGCTGGGCAGCCTGTTTCAGTGTCTGACCACCCTCACAGTAAAAATTATTTTTCTTATGCTTAAACAGAATTTACTGCGTTTCAGGTTGTTCCCTTGCTTCTTGCCTTGTCACTGGGCACTGCTGAAACTCTGATACTCAGTGAGACTCTCCAAAAAGAGAGAGTCTGGCTCCATCTTCTTCACTCTTTACCATTTCGCTCTTTCCCATCAGGTATTTGTATATGTTATTAATATCCCCCGAGCTTTCTCCTCTCCAGGCTACACAACTCAAGTTTTCTCAGTCTTTCCTTCTACATCAGATGATCCAGTCCCTTAACTGTCGTAAGGGCCCTTCACTGACTTACTCCAGGATGTCCACATCTATCCTATACTACTGAGCCCAGAACCGTACATGGCACTTCAGATGCAGCCTCACCAGTAGGGAGTCAAGAGGATCACCTCTGTTGACCTGTTGACCATGCTATCCTATGCAGCCCAGGATGCTGTTGGCCGCCTTTGCTGTGAGAGTACAATGTTGGCTTGTGCTCAACTTGTCTGCCAGGCCCCCAGATCCTCCTCTGCAGAGCTGCTTTCCAGCCAGGAAGCCTCTACCCAGCCTGTACTGGTGCATGGGGTTATTCTTCCCCAGGTGCAGAGCTTTGCATTTCCCTTTAGTTGAACTCCATGAGGTTCCTTTCTGACCACTTCATCAGCCTGTGAAATATTGCAGCACAACCACCTGGTGTATTAAACACACCTAATTTGGTATCTGCAAACTCTCAGAGAGAGTGCACTCCATCTCATAACCTTCAGATCATTAATAGAGAGGTTAAACAGTATTAGCCCCAGTACCCCTAGGGTACTCCAATGAGTAACTAGCCTCCAGCTGGCCTCTGTTGCTGGTTGCTGATCACAACCCCCTAAGCCCAGCAGTTCTGTCACTTTTAAATTCACCTTACTGCCTCTGTGGGCTTTGATTTTAAAGTCACTGAAAAATACAAGCTTAGTGGATATGCTTTGCACCTCTACCTACAGAAGCAGCTATCATGATTTTGGCAGCAGTGAAAAGAAAACTACCATGTCCAATTAATACCTGTCTGGATCTTATCTCCCCTTCATTTGAAACGGTTGCCATCTGGTCAGTTTAGTCTGTTTAATCAAAGTTATTTATCATCCTTTATTTACAAATGAAAACAGAAAGAAAAAAAATTGGTCACAAAAGTACAGACAACCTCATTTACAGCTCAAACCCCTGGTATTTTATGAGTCTATTAGATCTTTCCATAAAATGCATATGCTGACAGGCAGTATTGCCACAAAGAAGGTCTGAAGATTTTTACTGTGCTTTTCCTACCTGACAAGTGGCAGAAGTATGCCACTTAAATGGAATGACAGGCAGAGATCTGACCTGCTGTAATGTGTCTTTCCATTTCAACCACATCTGGGAACAATGAGGCAGTTTAAGTCTAGAACACTTCTTTCCTAGGTTTTAAAAAGACAGCAAGGAAAATGAGATTTCCTATATGCTCAAAGTAAAAAAATGATTGTTGTCTTTGTTGAGGTTATTCATGCATTAATTTTGGTTCCACTTTTGCAAAAAGCCTACATTTAACTTCACAGGTTACTAC